GCTGAGCCAAACACTCAGAATTCCAGGTTCAACCATCTTGCTTTCTTTTGATGACGATGATGATTGACATTCATGACCACTGAAGCAACATTAGGGGGCGCCAGGCAGGCAGAGTCCATAGATGATGAAACAGTACGTTCTATGCTACAGGAGAAAACCAAGCAATCTCAGAACTGAAAGAAATCATAAAATCCCACTCTCCTCTCTAGGCTTTAATCTCCACTGGGACCCTGCAGGCAAGAGGCTGTTCAAAGTCCTCTGAGAAGGCAGAACTTAACAGTGTGAGGTCGCTTTTTAACAAACATTCAGACAATTCTATGTTTTAGAAAGTTCTTCCTGGCCTTCAGCTAAAGCCTACCTCGCCATAGCCATCGCTCCTTTATCATTTTCCTGTTCTTAAAAGACACACATAAAAAAATTATGTCCTCTTCATGTGCATTTAAAGAAAGTTATAATGTCTACTCTGCTGTCTCTTATCCCATGTTCACTCCAGAGACTCACACAAAACATGCTAAATGTACCCACCCTTTCAATATTTAGAGAGAGCTGCAGTGTTTTATTCCATCTATTCTCCAATGAAGGCTTTAGGAAACTATGGTTATACCCCAGTTACGTCAATAGGACTAGAGCAAACATTAACTCTTAGTGGAGAGAATGCTCCTAAAATCCCCGAGGGATACTGTGAGCATCAAATCAGACAATGTTTATGAAAATAATTTTTAAACAATTACCTATTATATGAATTCAGTCATTATCTTTGTTCAGTGAACAACCAATGCTATTAATTGCCTGACAATAAATTAAGATTTATTCATTTATCCATACAACTATTTATTCTTCATTCAACAAATTCATTCATTCATTCATTCATTCATTCATTCATTCAACAAAATTTATTGGGTTCCTACTGTGTTTCACATCAGGAAGGGTAGGGATGAAGAAATTAAGCGACAATACAAATGAGTAGGCCTGAGTTGATTTTAAAACACTCTTTTAAAGCTTCCATTTGCATTTGATCATAAAGGTTATAAAGGTAAATACGAGTGAGTGCCTACAGGTCATCCCTCAGTCTCTAATGCTTAGACTTCTGCCTAAGAGCACATGGAAGATTTTGCTTTTCAAACACATTTGTCTGCGTTTTTAAAAAATGAGGGAGCAAAATTAATACAGAGTTAAGAGAAAGGTGAGGCCGGATCATAGAAGGCTCATAAAAATGTAGGGGCTTAACATTTACAGCAAGAAAGTGATTCGCTGTATCACTGTCTGGTCTTTTGAAGTAGTATTTGCATAGCCTTTTAAAAATACATATTTTTGTACTGAAGCAGTCAGTTTACAATGTTGTGTCAATTTCGGGTGTACAGCATTTGTATACCCTTTGAAAATGGTTCTCTGTTTCTCATTGTAGGTGCTGCACTTGGATGAATTAACGAGAACTGCAAATTCTTCAAACACAAGGGTAGATACAATTCCTACTTTTCTTTTTACTTCTTTTATGGCAGTCAATGAGGACTAAAGGCTTAAGGCAATAAAACAGGGTATTTATTCCAGAGGTGTTCTGAGCCTAGAATACAGACACATACAGTCAAACTCCTGCGTACACTGTTTTAAAATAATCATGTTGAGATTTTGAAATAAGAGATGACAAAATGGGGACTCTCAAAAATTTGAAGTAGAGACAATTAGCCTTTAAGAAAAAGGGCTATTTCTTCCCTTGGGCAGTAAGTACAGAAAGGAGATGATTCTCAAAGAGTTTTCATAATGGAACCCCCCCAGGTATCCAGACAGTAAAAGTGCCTCTGACAGTGGCTGGACCAGAGTGAGTGCTCAACGGCTATACATATATATACACGTTGTTTTTGAAAATGTAACTAACGATGTCTTCTCTTTATGAGTGTTATTGTTTAATGTTTTTTCCATGTTGCTAATTTCTAGGGAACATTTGTAATGTGGACCTTCATTTGGTGGTCTGTGACTTTCCCACTATTATCTACAGAGGGGGCTACTAAGACCAAACTCCATTGCCCAGAATTCTAAATTATTTCAAAAATTTAGCAACACATTTTTCCTGATACCAATTATATTAAAATTAATGTGCCAGTATTGATAGGTGTGCTCTGGGCCACCTTGTGGAGGAGACAGGTCAAGCTTGACCAGGGCAGGGACCTTACCAAGTCGTCCCTCACACCTGTAAGGTGATCATGAGACACTGTAATCAAATTGTCAGTGTGGTGAAAAGCAAACATTTCAGTATGTCCCAACAGTAGAATTAGCCTTTGATTCTATTTGTTTTTTGAAATAGCACGTCCCAATGCAAAACCAAGAGCCTCTTTTCTAACCTCAGTTGATAATTAAGTGTGTGATACCACAGCCAGCCCGTTTTCAAGTATTTTTTACCTTCACCTTAGTGTGAACAAGATACAGGGGTCCACTCACACATTCAAGCACTCCTTTCTGATATCACCAAGTCCAGTCACAGTCAAGTCCATGTGGCAAGTGGAATGTTTGCAGAAGAAGCCCATCCATACCTCCCGGTGAGTGAAAATAAAACATTTTCCCATAAGTTAGGGAGAAGCCTTCCTTTTCTGTCTCCGTTTAATTTATCCTAGCATTGTTTGTGCTGTTAAAATGGTAAGAAAGTAGAAAAGATTTAATATATACACCCATATATTTAGATAGATAGATGCTATATATAAAATATACAATGTATATTTCATGTAGAAAAATAATATAGAGTTTAAGATTCTAATTTGCAGATGCTAGTTTGTAACATGTTCAGTTATGTTTCAGATGGGCCCAAGTGAAGTGAAAAGAGCATAAATTTTATGTAGCTTGTGATTAACAACACCACTGCCAGAATTTTTACATCGATAATAAAAGAGAAATTAGTTCTTTGCAACCCCAAGTTGAGGACTCTAATTATGCTAAGTCTGATTATCCTAGTTATGAATATAAGGTGCAATCTCACAGGCTGAAAAGAAAGAGAAATAACCTGGTCATGAAAATAACATCCTGTCGTAACTTGTTCATTTTACTTAACTATCTTCTGAACACATGACAAATGTATATATTTTTACTAATTGGGCCTAGTTAGGCCTGCTTTAATGGTATTTTACATATCTCTGCCCCTATTTAGGTATAATTCCTACCATGTAGGATCTAAATGTGTTAAAATCAACATTCATTTGCTGTGTCTCTTCTTTTCTTTATGCTCATTTTATAGGAATATTTAGACTGTATTGAACAATTATATAACCTAAAACCTGAAAATTTGGATTTCAAAAATAATTTAGAAGAAGCTAGAATGCAGATTAACTCATGGATTGAAAACAAGACAAAAGGTAAGAGATCTGAGACTTCCTTTTTTCCTCCATCTTCTTCTTCTTCTTCTTCTTCTTTTAGGCAATTCAATAAAATGCTCTCATCTTTAAAAAGTATCCTTGGACAATTCTGACAAACGAGTGTCAGGACACAGAGCGTTTCCAGTCACCCTGAGCACTTCCTCCACACCTGCTCCCAAGCAACCACTGATCTGATCCTACTATCAGAGGTTGGTTTTGCCTATTCCAAAATCCCAAATAAATCGGGGGTATTACAGTGTGTACTATTTTGTGTTCTGGTTTTTTTTTTTTCCCAATCAGGGTATTATTTTTCAGAGCATTCATGTTTTTGGATAGATCAGTGGTTCATGTCTTTTTACTGCTGGGACGTATTCCACTGCATAAATAGACCACAGTCTGTTTATCCATTCTCTTCTTGATGGACATCTGGGCTGTATCTAGTTCTGGGCTATTACGAACAATGTTGCTATGAACAGTTTTGTAAAAGGCTTTTGCAGACTTATTTTTTTTTTTCATTTCCCTTGGGTAAATACTATGTATAAATGAGGCTAGATGAATGTTTAACTTTTTAAGAAACTGCCAAATAGGTTTCCGAAGTGACTGAACCGTTTTACATCCTCACCAGCACTGTATGATAATTCCAGTTACTCCAAGTCCTCTCCAATTTTTGGTGGTGTAAATATTTTTTATTCAAGTGTTTTAGTGGATGTGTAGTAGTACCTCATTGTGGTCTCAATTTGCATTTTTCTGATGACTAAAAACATTGAGCATCTTTTTTATATTTGTCTATTGGCCATTAATATATCTTTATTTATGAAGTCTCTGTTCAAGCTATTTGCCCATTTTTCAGGTGTGTTGTTTACTTTTTGTTATTGAGTTGCAGGAATTCTTCACATATGCTGGATACAAATATTTGGTCAGATGCGTGTATTGCTAATGTTCTCTCCTAGTCCGTGTCTTGTGTATTTATTTTCTCAACAGTATTTTTGATGAGCAGAAGTTTCTAATTTTAATGAAATTCAGTTTATCAATGGTTTGTGCTTTCTGTATATTCTCTAAGAAAGTTTTGCTTACCCAAGGTTGCAAAGGTATTCTCTTCTGTTTTCTTGCAGTAGATTTTTTGTTTTAGTGTTTACATTTAGGTTTATGATCCATCTCAAACTGACTTTTATGTAGGATGTGAAAGAGGGAGGAAAGTTCTTTATTTTTTCCATATGGAAAACCAGTTGCTGTAGCACCAGGGGCTGAACATCTCAAGACTTTTTTCATTTCATAAAATGAAAGCTCATGACATCTTCTGATCAATTTTACTCCTGAGGAGTGAGAAGGCATAAAAAGCAGAAAGTCTTTCTTTTGCAACTTTCCCAGTGATCTCTCCTGCTTGATGTAGTAGAAAGTCACTGCCAAGTAGCAGTGGTGACCTGCAAAACCAGCGACTCAAAACTCATTGTCTTCAGCACAGGGTGGTGCCAGGAGGAATGTTACAGGAAAGTCAAACTTGAATGGTTAATATGTTTGTATTATAAACCACCTCTTAACTGGGTAACATAATGTTATACAAAGTAATCAGGCTTGTTAACTTCTACAGCCATAAAATAGGCAGACAGGTGAAACACTCACCTAGTTTTCTTCTGCATCCTACGTTCTTTATTTATTAAACAATTATGAGTACTTTAGATACGTTGCTCAAAAATCTTTTTGGTGCATCTGAAGAGATCGAGTGGCAATTACTTAAGTAAATTCAAAGATGGGTCAAAATCAAATGCAAAACCAATGAAACCAATTCACACTCCATGACTGATCAGGAACGATCTCACTCTGTTACTCTTCCCAAAGGTGAAATCAAGGACCTCTTGCCACCCAATAGCCTCACAGCCTCTGATCAGCTGGTACTGGTAAATGCCATCTCCTACAGAGGGACCTGGAAGTATGCATTTCAGAAAGACCAAACCACAGCAATGGCTTTCAGGCTGGACGAGGTAGTCTCATGGCTTAATTATTTTTTTTTTCTCTTTTAAAGGTAATCCTCAAAAATTTTGCTTTAAATTTTTTAAATTATTCTTGGCCTTAGGGAGGTAAATTAATTTCCAAGTGACTGTCCTAGCTGCATACCCAACAAAGTCCAGGTTTAGATTACAAGACTTTTTGTTGTTGTTATTGAAACTTTCTTTTAAATTCTCCATAGTATTTTTTAACTTATTTTGATACTTGTAGCCCTACAGTTGCCAAACTGAAAAACTAGTTTAAAACATAGACCTTGGAATGGTTTAAAGCAGGTTTGGGTTTTGGACTAAGCTTACACCATTATTAAACAATTGACTTTCTGTGAACTGGAAATAAAGTCAGATGGAATGAAATAACTTCAACAGTTGCTTGCAGAAATAACATGCTTGCAGGTCAATTGTAAAATGGGTGTGATCTTGAGAGGCAAAGCAAAACTGGTAAACAAGATTCTTAATCAAAATAAAAGGTTTCAGGTATACTGTCCTATTATCCTCAATCTTCTCAACTTCTGTCCTTTGTGCCTCCAAAGTATCCTAAATATCAGGCTGCAACCAAAATAAGACATGTTGTTTAATAAGAAAGAATGGATCTGAATATTAGAATCAAGTTCCTATACTATCAGCTGCATTCTCTAGCCAAACATATTAGTCACATCTGGAATCATCCAGTATTATCCTTCCAAAGAATACTGCCATCAGATATCAAGGTCATAAAACATACAGTGGAATTATGTATTTTTTGCAGCTGTAGCTTTTTTTCTTTCAATGCAGATTCCAGAGCCATATTCCTGGAGATTCTGATTTGTAGGAAGTGTTTGAGTATTTGTATTTTTAAGTAACACCTGTATGTCCTTCCAAGAATCAGCCACATTTGGGGACCACAGTATAGGAAAAATGGAGTGAAGGTGTTAGCAGGATTCACAGAGAGATATTTTAAAGGCGTGAGCATACCCCAAAGTGAGCAGACTTTCTACCGGAAACAATAAATTAGAATCTTTATCTTCACAGTAAAATCTGGTCCATGTGGTTTACTTACATGATGCAGACAGCTTTATGTTAAAACTAGCCTTTCAAAGAGGAACACATAAAGTATGGTTATGGTCATAACTAAATTTCCTTAAAAGTCATCTTATTATGTGCAAGTCACTGAGCACTTTGTTGCATTCTCAGTGGCTTCACAGCTATTTTGTGATCTGTACCCGCGTGCCGCAGACTCGGCCGTGTTAGTCATACTTCACTTGAGCTGGAGAGATTTCTAAATTATGTTCTTCAGAGGACCTAACTTGACTTTTCAAAAAATGCTTATCATGATGAGATCTTATGATGCGTATTTCTCAGCCCTTTGAAGTTGAATTAACTGTTTCTGGGCATCAAAAACATACTATTGAGTAAATATAATATATTGGAAGACATAAGCATTTTAAACATTTCGTATTTCAGCAGCTACTTTTTTTAAGCGACCCTCCCTGCTTTAAATCCTTACAATAATGATCAGTCATTGATATTTCTGTGGGGAGATGAATAAATTTTGTTTTGGTCACTCATCGTGGGCAACTTTGGAGGATGAAATGTAAGTTCCCCGGGCCTTAAATGGAAACATAGAAAGGAATCACCTTTGTTGTCTCTCCGTGTTCACTCTTCCAGTCCCAGAGCAAGTCTGTTCAGATGATGCGGCTGCAAGGACTCCTGAAACTGGGCTCCATCAAGGAGCCTCGGGTGCAGGTCCTTGAGATGCCGGATGCAGAGGATCACCTGAGTATGGTCATCGTCCTACCCAGCGAGGACGTCGGCCTGGGACAGGTAAACCACTGAGTCTCTGCAGCCACGGCCACAAGTAAAGGTGCCGTGCTTGAGAATGACACATGCAGGAAGCTGGGGCATTTAAAACAACCGTTTAAACTACTCCTCAGTGCAATGCTACGTCCACTTGAAAAACAGCAGAAGCCCCAAATAAAGCACCCACACACTAAGATATGCTGCTTCTACTTGTTTCAGTTTTAGGTTTTCCAAGCACAGTCATACGCATCCTCTTGCAGTCTTTACAGATCACCATAGTTATTCTGCATGTCTTTTAAAAAATATTTTTGTATAGTGTGCACTGACGCCTCTTTTGGACCTGCCACCAACCAACTCTTTTGCACCAACATGCGATGCTCAGCCTTTCCCTTTGTTTGCTTCTCTGGTGCCCCACGTGGACCCTCCTGTTCCGCATCCTGACCGCGTGTCTTGCTCTCTGCATTGGTACAAGTCTGTTCCTCAGAAATTTGCTTTAAATCCCTGTCTTTCCTCCCTTTCTTCTGTTTTTTATGCTTCTCCCAATTCTGTGTTGCTCCCACCAACTTCTCAGTGGATAAAGACTTTCTCCTGTTATAATGCTTGACATTAATTCACCACTGTGGATGAGGGCCAATATCCCCAGTTTCTTAAATGAGTATGAGTTGAAGGTGTTATACGGTGAATGACAGTTCCACGCAAAATAGTTTTGGTTTTTTTCTGCTTGAGATCACGTTGTTTGGTGTCTAGCCCACCTACCTCCTGATAGATTCCACTTACAACATAGTCCAAATGAGCCATAGAAAGCATGAACTTCCCCAGTAAGGAGAACCAGAATGAGGAGAAGCCAGAAAAAGTCTCATATGGGGAACGGATGAGAAAAAGGGCAGTGATTTAGGGAGAACGTTGATCACATTAAAATATTTAGTTGTCACATGGAAGAAATGGACTAATTTTGTGTGGCTCCGAGAGTGGGACCTAAAACTAATAGGGACAAATGACAGGGAAGCAGATTTATGGTCAAAATGGGAAAGGCCTTTCTTGCAAGCTGAGCTGTGCAACCACAGAGCCAGGCTGTTTATAAAAAGAAGGTTATTGATGGAAGGACGCTTCAAGCAGGTGCTGATGGATGTCACAAACGCACCTCAGGGGGCCTTCTCCATAGTCTCTTTCATGTTTAAGATTCTTCAATTCTAATGACCTAGAAATGTTACTTGCTTTGATATAAATTCAGTCTCTATGGATGCCTGACTAACGAGAATTCTGGCTTCAGCTGAGGCAGAAAGTTACACTGATCAGCTTAGAATTGCGATTTCTGTTGTCAGCATCCAAGGATCTCAGGTTCCAAAGATGTCTTTTCATGTGGCCAATTAGATAAATTGTACTATTATAACACATAAATAATGAAGCTTATAGAGGGATCGTAAGAGAAACAAAAGTAGAAATCCCCTATGATAATCTGCTGCTTTTCCAAGTGGCTCCTGGATGGTGTGCCAAGGCATAGATCCCAGGGCCATGTGCTTCAACTTCAGTTATTGGACATGGTGGCATTTCCCCTACTTGTTTTATTACATAGAATCAGCTTTCCAAAATGACAATGAGAAGTAGCCTTACCTTTTTATAACCTGACATTCAGCCCTCAGGGTTTCACATTTTGGCATCATTTTATTTTCTAAATAAAAATGTTTTTCTTTTGCTTCTTGCTCTCATAGGTTACCAGGGAAATCACTTACGAGAAACTAAATAACTGGTTAGGCTCAGCCAACATGAAAGACGCAGCTGTGGTTCTGCACCTGCCCCGGCTCCGACTCGATGGGTACCATGAAGACCTGACTTCCATTCTGGCAGCTCTGGGAATGACTGATGTCTTCGATCTCTCACGGGCTAACTTGTCTGGCGCAACTGCAGGAGGCGGCCTCGTGGTCTCCAAGATAATCCATAGGGCCACGCTGGAGGTTACTGAGACTGGCTCAGAATCCACGTTTACCAACCAAACAAGCAAAGTGGAAAATCCTGAAATCGTCAAGGTGGATCGTCCTTTCCTCTTGTTTATCCTACACAAGGAAACTAAGATGATTCTCTTCTACGGCAGAGTCTCCACCCCTTCAGGAAGGAACTGAATTTATACTCAAACCACCTTCCGATTCCTCAAATTAGCTGGATTTTATGAGTTTGTAGACAACACTCTGTGAAGGTACAGCTAAAAGAGATACTCCTTTGCTTCTTGGCAATGGTTTCCTTTCAGCTATCTCGTGTAGAATATCCAGCCCATCCACCTCTTCTTGGTTTGGTTCACTTTGGTTAAACAATTTACAATATGCTATTATTTGCGCTTATTAAAAAATTACGATCAATACTACTTTTTTCCTCTCTTAAAAAATGAACAGCTTTAGTGAGAGATAATTCTCACACCATAAAATTCACCACTTGTTTATGTCTATTCACTTTAACTGAAGTACAGATGACTGGCAGTGTTATATTAATTTCAGGGGTAAAATACAGTAATTCAATATTTTTACAGATTCTACTCTATATGAAGTTATTATAAAATATTGGCTATATTCCCTGTGCTGTACATTGTATCCTTGTATCTTATTTTTTAATAACTAGTGGTTTGTGCCTTTGAATCCCTTCCTCCTACGTTGCCCCTCCCACCCCCCTCCTCACTGGTAACTAGTGGTTTGTTCTTTGTAGCGGTGAGTCTGTTTCTGGTTTGATATTACTTTCTCAGGTAGACTTCAACTTGCTCAGACCTTCGTTAATACGTTGCCAAAACCCAGAATGCCTTTTTCCAAAGAAGCAATATTATTCCATGAGATTAGGTCACCAAGTTATTTCTTCAAAACTTGGTTACCTCACCTGCAGCTGAACTAATGCTGCTAGCAAGAGGCACTGACCTCCACTGCGTGTATGGTCAAGTACCAGGCACTCAGAGGAATTATCTCATTTAATTCCCACCCAAACCCTGAGAGGCAGGAATTACTGTTGTCTCATTTAAAGACGGGAAACTGAGATGTGGATTTAGTAATTTAACACGCAAAGGGCAAGTGGCAGACTGGATGTTCAAACCCAGAAAGTTGGGTACCAGACTGCAGCTCTTGACCACCAGCTACCCTGTCCTGCTCACAAGTCTACATTCTGAGACTCAGAACCAGGACCCTTATGGTAGAAAATGGAGCAGAAAGAAAGGGAAGAAAGTTATTTTTCTCCTTTCCCTCATATAGGGATGGGCATGGTTGAAATAACACTTGTAGAAGATTTTCAAGTTTACAAGTAATTGAGTACTTGAAATCGTTTAATAGACACGCGTGTTTCCATTTTGTGCTCTTTCTCTCTTCCTGTGCCCCTCTCCACTTCTTATTCCCACTCTGTCATCACCAAGCTCTTCTTCCTCCCGGCTTCCAGGTGCCCAGCATCTCAAGTCCCTCTCCAGAGACACTGAAAACAAAATGAAAAGAACCCTGGATTTGGTGTCAAGGGATCTCAGCCAAAATGCTGACTCTGTGCATTTAGTAGCTGCCAGGTTTGGGCGAAGCATTCACCTCCCAGAGCTCAGTCTCATTCTCTGCAAGGGGGACGTTCCAATCCCACCTTGTCCATCAGGCTGCTGGGAGATTCAAAAGCTATCACACACAGCAATGCCTGATAAGCTGTTGTTAACTTTCAATCACATGCTGCCAACATGTGCCGTCCAGGGTCGCTGCACAAGGGGCCCAAAGAATCCCCTTTGGGTCATCTTTTTTTTCCTGTCTGCTTTCTACCTCTCTAATGGGGAAAATGTTACTCCTTCATGCTGTGTGCAGATCTGATTATCTACTACCGATTATTTGTGCTGTAATTTGCAATCATTCTGCATTTTTAGTTTTATCTGGTGAGAATGAGTCAGGGAAACAGTTTTGAGTATTTGTCCCCAATATTTAAAGTTTGAATTATGCCTCTATTTCTAAGTGTGTTGGGCACAAACTCCAGTTTACAGATAGTTCAATCCCTTTGCTCATGTCAGAACTTAAAAAAAATCGTTTTTACCATTCAACTTTAAATTTACTAACATAATAAATCTAATATTAACCATTAAGTTATTTGACTGGTGACCTGTACCAGGCGAATCATTCCAATGACTCACCATAATGGGATTGTTTCTAAATCTTCACTACCTCGAAACTTAGATTTTAACAGCTTTAGAGACTGGATATAGCAATTATATTTTGAGAGAACTAAACAAAAATTCTGTAATATGTAACTACCAAAGAAATAGTCACAATACTGTACTATTACACATTTGCTGGTTGCCTAGAGTAGTTCGCGCTGAGTCACTCTGCACACCCTGTGCTCTACAAGTGACTTGATACACCCTAATAACACAGCCCCGGAGTTTGTTGTAAATAATTTCCATTGTCTAAGCTGACATCTGAGTCACCACATTTTCCACATGCAGTGTTGCCAGAAGCAGCCCAAAAGGTCCAAGAAGACAATCGATGCTGGCTAAACCAGGAAGTACAAACAGGTGGGGGCAAGGACAAAGCATACACGATTTTGAAACATTTCAACTTTTGGGTTTTTTCATTTCAATATTGGGCATTTTTCTTCTTTATAAACTTTTACATCCGTGCCCCCTGGTCATTTCCAGAGGGGGAAAAAAAAAAGAAGAAGAAAAGAAAAATTTAATGGGAGACGTGGGACGCATATGGCTTTTGTGAACTATTTTCTATAAAAAAATTCTAAGAGTCTAATCCTTAGTTCAAACGGAACGCACAGAGGCTGAGTGTGAAGCCATTGTACCTCCAATGCGAACGACACAAACAAGGACCCCTCCGCGGGCCTCTCCGGGCCAGGGACGTGTTTCTGGAGGGAGTGGCAGCTGGCGTGGCCGGCGGGAGCCCTGCTGGTTATGGAACCCAGCCCTTGCTCTTCCCAACAAGTAGAATCATGAAGCTTGACTGGCCGTGAGTTTTTATGCCGTGCCTTTGACTCCACTCGTGAAAAAAGTGTTATTGATAAAAAGAAGAGGTTTTGAATGATTTTAGTATTTCTTCCACGAATGAATTTACTAAAGGCACGGTTTTGTCCCCAGATGAATCCATTGCTTGTCCTTTCTGAATTCTGCATTGGGCTATGTCATCAGTTACTGGCCAGGTGATGTGCTCCTTTAGTATTTTTTCTCTTCTAAAATTTACCATTTTGACTCTTTTTCCTCGATTTGCATGTAAGTGTTCATTGGACAGCACGGGGTTGGAATTTCATCTTCACTGTAAACTCATTACTTAATTCTTCAAATATGCCTTTGCCTTCTCCCTCCAAAGTGCATCACTGCACCCCTCACGGCCACACACATCTCACACTCCTCATCTCATACCAGTCTCCTGCCATTTTCTACTCTTCTGTTTTCATTCTCTTAGCCTTGTTTCTTCTAGCTTCTCCTGTGAGGAAAGAGAAAATTTTCTGGGCCTAGCAGAATATCTCCAATTCCCTTGAAGACTACCACCCCTCAATGACAGTATTACTCAGTGGTCAATGAGACTAAATGATGCTAAACATTATGTGAGAACAAGACATGTTTCTCTCCATTATAATGTGTTAGAGCTTAATCATAAAATTGCTGAATAAAAAAATGGCTTGAAACCTCTGATTAATATGTATTGTTTTGAAGAGCATAAGATTCTTTTGATAGAAGGAAACGCAGTGCGATCAAAACTAGATTGCAATTTTTATTTCCTGCAAACAAGTATAGATAGATAAGGATGTCACATGCAGGCCACGCCGAGAGTCACATAAACTAACCAACACGCGTGAATACCCTAAATTTCTTAATATCCAAAGACTCAAATTATACATAGACTTCTGTGAATTCTACCTGCCTAATGAGCACAAGTCAAAGTAAGAGAAGAAATATAACTATCCATTGAGAGAGAGAGAGAGAAAATGAATCTGTGTAAAAGGGAAAAGAATACACTCAAAAACCAACCACTAAAAAAAAATAAAACTTGTAAATTGAAACATCATTTAGAATTACTCTTAACAAACACTGGTTTTTGAAAATAAATTTTTTTTAACTAACAATGGTTTCCGGTTGATAGTATGGATTAAAGAAGAATGCCCTTATTATAAGTAAAGAAGGTATGTTTCAAAAGAGTCTGGAACGTATGTGAAATACACACAGACAGGCAAAACTGCTGATAGAATTGTATGATAGCATGAATAAACAGGTCCAAAAAATTCCTTATTTCATACGTAATAAGATACTTCATTTCTCTTCATCAAAATTTACATCTTTACATGCCTCACCTTGAATATAGCTCACTCACTCCCATACTGTATAGCTATACTTAGATCTGTACATGAATTGATGAGTATTAACGAGTTTAGTCAACAAGTAAGTCAGCCAACCACCACCTGCTGTCTGAGTGTAAGGGAGCAGGACCCTATGGGGCCTTCTGGGGACAGACCCCCTACCCCGTATTCTCTGCTGTAGCCCCTCTCTGAAGCACCCAGATAATAGTATCTCATGCATATGTCCTGAGTTTTTCAGATGCTAAAACCCACCACCAAATGGAAGAAATTAACTACTTGATGATCCTGAGCACGTGGCCCCCAGACCTTCTGGCGCCCAGGGATTGGTAGTGTTGACCATCTGTTACTTCAGTATCAACCAGAGGACTGTGCACAAGCCGACCACGTACCCTGTGACCCCCCTCCCTTACCTGGTCTTTAAATATGCTTTGCTGAAACCCTTGGGGGGGTTCAGGGTTTTCTTGGGCATGAGCCACCCTGTCTTCCTTGCTTTGCCCCACAATAAACTCTGCTCCAAACTCCAATGTTTTGGTTTGTCTGGTCTCACTGTGCCTTGGGCAAACAAACTTAACATTTGTGTTGCGTTAGGTAACATGAGCATCCATTGGGAATCACCAGAAGATTTCCCCACCTTCGGCTTAGCAATAAGGAACTCCACTAGACCAGAAAACTGCAGTCCCCCACACAGCTGTCATTCCGGGGCAGAACGCCTGGGGGCCGTTCTGTGTGCAACTCTGTGCTGGCAGACATGTGCTGAGTCATTGTCTCTATTTTAAGAAAACTTTGGCACAAGAAGAAAGATAAAATTTGAAATGAAGTATCTTATGAATTAATCTCCAAGATCTTGACATGGAAAAATTGAGAACAAGGAATGAGGCGGGAAAAATCTGCCAAAATAATAGATAAATCATTAAGCTGAACACTTAGAATAAGCTTCATCCGGCACTCACTTAGACCAAGAAGACACTTAAT